ATTCTCCCACTCATTTTATCAATCAAAAATCACAAAATCGAAGTAGAGTCAAGTTATGGGAATTGGAGTGCATGGGATAAATTACTTTGCACACAAAATAGATTACTAACAGCTCCAATTTCTTGAAACTTCCCAGGCCTACCATTCAACTGAGCAAAGTGATTTATCTTCAGTTCATGATATGTAATCATCTAAGTATCTGTTTCAGTCTATTAAGAACTCTACAGCTATGACTTAAAGCAACCGAAGTGAATTTTGTGAAGTACATGGTCATATGTTCCCCTACACGTTTATATATCGTCACCAAACAGAAGGTTATAATTAATTCCTTCAATGAATACGCTCCACCCTGCAACTCTGGAGCTTTAGGTAACAAATGCAAACTCAATTAATTCATAGATATATTTCAATCTAGGCCGTGTTTAGTTTCCCCCTATATTCCCAACTTTCCATCACATCATATCACATCAAAAACTTTCCTACACACATAAACTTCCAACTTTTTTTCCAAACTCCCAACTTTCTTCAAACTTTCAACTTTTTTTAGAAACTAAACACACCCCTACTGAGATCCGAACTCCATATGTACAGAATGTGGAAGAACCAGTACTACTTGGAGCTCATCTAGGTGGAAATATGTTAGTTTAAATGAAAAATTTGCAACTAACTTCTACAAGGTTATTATGCATTAGTCTATCTCCCAAGGTTGTAGTGAAGTGATTTATAAAGGTCTACTTAATTAGTCTAGACCGTTCATCTTTCCCCTATACTCCTTTAAAAGAAGTAGTGATGAGTGGTGAATCTGCCACCATCCCATCACCAACTCCCTAGCCTTTTGAAATAGAGAAAGTACATGTGGGGTAAGAGAGTCCATCTGTGAACCACCCTTACAACCAAATATGTACTTTTTACGGAAAGGAAAATGATAGTGTGGGCTAGAGGGTCTACGTGTCAGTAACAAATATATGTAGAAATTAGGAGATGATGTATATAGAAAATAATGGCTATAATGAGTTAATGATAATTTTCATTAATTAAAATCCCATTGCGACGCACAAGCAGTATGCTAATTTAATCTGATAGATCATATCTATTTATAGAACTACCTCAAACTGCTGGCAGTAGAATTCATAAATAAAAGCTTGAGATCACTTCTCCTCGTGATAATATTGGTAATACTTATTCTGTCCCACTGAATAAAGCGCACACGCATTTTAAAATTTAACTCTTTAAATATTTGACCAATAATTATTTTATTATAAATAAAATTGTACTTGAAAAAAATAATATCATTAGATTGACATTTGAATTTACTTTCCGATGATAGATTTTGTTGTTACAAACATTGTAGTATATGAGAAATTTTTAGTCAAAGAATAGTTTTGGAGATTGTGCATTATTCCATGGCACAGAGAGAGTAGAATACAACCACCAGAGGCCACCGTAAAGTACTCAAATTGTAATACTCCAGGCAATAAATCCCTCTTCAAGTTCATGATCTCTATCCTGAGCAAAAGATTCGACATTTCCTTCAATGTACACAGCTATCAACATCATGAGATATTTCAACTATCCTAGTGCATGAATCAACCATAACCTACCTCCCTCTCATCCAGCAGCCGATGTCAGCGATGGCACCTCCCGCAGCTTGGAGAGCTTTTCCTTGGAGCTGCCTTGACGCCATGATGTGTGGCGTGGAAGTGCAGGAAACCCAGCCGCTGCAGGGAATGAGGTTAATTTGCTGCAGCTGAGGTGGGAAGATCTAGCACTAGCACCGGCTGCGAGGATTGTTTAGTAAGAAACACAACAGGAATATTTTAAAGTGACACATTCAAGGAACATAGTAGCATTTTTAAGAGAAAGATATGTTACAAAGTATTATGTACTCCCTCCATCCTAGAATAAATTATAAATTAATCTGTAGTACGGGCAAAGACGTTTCCTAGCACTATGAATCTGGTCCAAGTGCATGTACTAGGATATATCACATCTCGTACTAGATTTATAGTATTAGGATATATCACATCCCGTATTAGATTAATTTATTCTAGGATAGAGGTAGTAATATGTAGTCTAGCTAAGTAGCTAGCTTAATCTCAAAAAGAAAACAAATGATAACACTAGCTAGCAGGTATAAAAAAAATACATTGCATTCCATGTCATTAATAATGCACAACTTACAGTCTTTCAGATTGATGGTAGAGCAATACAAACCTGAAAATTGATCGAATTTCCCAAAGCATCTCATGCCTATATTCCAACATAGCTGGGTAATATTTGCACAAGTGAAATACTAGATCAATCATGTTTTATCTGTCATGACCAACAGAGAGTGTCTGACAAGTGATGGAGGAATGGACCAATGGTGTCGGAGGCCCATATATATGGCCATATGTATATCACTCTTCAGCAATTTTTATGGTATCTTCAAAGTGATTCACTCAACAACTGAGGCTCTCATATTTTACTCTCTTTCATTATGACCACCAAACTCCAGAAATTTTGAATCAAAATTGTGAAACTAACCTCTGCCTTTTCCTAGTTATAATGCTATATGTCTTCATGTCTTGCCTGTGCATAACTAGTGTTCCTTCTGTTCAATGGATTATTAGCATCTCTCCTGATATTACTTGAGAAGAGGAACTGTTCATAACTCATAAGAGAAAGTTGTGAATTACTAATCGATCTCCAATTCAGTTTCATGCTCTCGATCTACCATGGACAAAAGATTTACGGTTTCTTTTCACCCAAGTAGAAGAACTGGACTAGGATGTTTTGCTGTTGGGACCGTCCACAATCTTGCACTACTTTACATGGACGTGATGTGTTGGGCTACATACCGATGCAATCCTTTCTCTCCTGGTCTCCTGGGTCTCCTATCCTCACTGTTCATTATCCAAAAAATCCTCACTGTTCAAACACTGCCACTTGGTTGTGTGAACCTTTTGTAAGGAGTGAGTCTATGTACTCTAGTTTGGGTTTTAGAGACCAGGTTTAAATCCATTTTCCATTTTCATAAAAATCGAGCGATGAATACACCATTACCCTGGTCGCTTTCTCATGCATCCAGGCATGCATCACCAGCGTTCGGTCATCGTCCACCGTACTTTGCACCAAGGTCTCTCCTATTCCGTAGAATCCTCTCCGTTTTTCTCATCGATCTTCAATTTAGTGAAGTGATCTTGATCCTTTCACGATCAGACAAGAGAATTTTGGATGCCGTGTCTGTTCAATAGCATTTCTGCATTAGTATGTTTTGGGCATTCAGGCCTCTCTTTCAATTAAGCTGGCAATTTTCTATGTTTTACATTGTTCAAGGATGGCTCTATTCCTGGTAAATGCCGAAAGTTTGGAACTCATCTTAACATGCTTCATGCCCTCTAGTAGGCAACTTTCATGGGGACAAGCATAGAGACTCCGATGAAGTGTTCTTCTGCCTGATTCCCGAGGTGAGTGAGAAATAAACAAGATAGTGTGACCACTTGAAACTCTTCCTTTCTACAAAGTTAGCCATAAGCTTCTGGAAAATTGAAGCAGATGAACCATACCAATTTCCCAATGCTTCTCAATCCTATATCCAAGCCTGACATAAAAAAAATCAGTTCTGTTTTCTGAGCTTGGTGAAGTGAAAGCTAGAAAGAAAGAAATAGTGAGAATATAATGAGATGCACAAGCATCCTTATATATTATCTATGTATATCTTACTACCATTATGATTTCTAACCAAAAATATTTAATCTAGCAAATGCGCACCTGCAAGTATTGAAATACTGTTTCGGTAAAATTGAAGTACCGAATCACTTGTATCAATGTATTGGAGCATGAAAAATAAAAGGTTGGGATAATCTATTATATACTAAAAGTCCATTAAATTTCCTACAAACGCTCTTACGTCGCCACGTGGAATCCTAGAAAATAAGAGAAAGAAGAAAAACATACAACCTTCAATTTTCACTTAACTTGGTGGACCCGTTATTTTAGACCATTGGATTAGATCTATTAAAACTCCCACACTGCTAATCTCCATCCCGGAATAAAATAATGTACGTACGATCGTCTCACTATCCAGAAAAAAACAAAACTTAATTACCTACATCATATACTATGGAGAATAACGATAAATAAAATAAATATATCAATATATCAATAGTAAAATCAAAGAAATAGTAATCAACAAAAATCATCAACGCTAGCAGTCCAGCACTTATGTGTTGTCAATAGCTTTTAAACTACGATTCTGTTAAAAATAATACTACACAGAAATAAGTAGGGGGCAAAAATTATAACTATTTTCATCACCCCCTTCTTTATGTCCCTCTCCATCCTTCAATGGTAGTGTTTACTATGCCATCGTAAATATTGCAAGGTATGCATATGGTTGAGTTAAGGTGGCGTTAGTGAAAGGCTGTTGTAGGCAAATGTATCTAAAGGGACATACTTACTAATGGAATCCTTTGTGGGTGTGCCAATAGTGAATTAAGTGTTAAAATGGTGCTATAGGCTTATCTTTGGGACACGGCTGTGTCGATGTGGGAGCCAAGTTTCAAGGCATTACATAAGAAAGCCTTGGTAGTTACAATCGACTTCATCCGTTAGAGAGACATTCATATCTATTTTTAACGGTGTTATTGTATTATCCAGTAGAAGTGGTATGTTTAGACTATTTATACATAGCGTGGAAATAAGTTATGAACACTAAGTTAAGCAGTGTAGATGATTTTTTTAGTGTATTAATAATGTATCATTTATTTTGGTGGTATTAATATCATTTCATTTATTAAAAATGCACATAGCTTTTAAAACAATAACGATAGGGGAGTTTATAAATGACCACGATAAAGGGATTTTTATTTAAATATGAGAGATATTCTTATTCTTATCATATTTAGCAGTATATTAAAATCTACCATCTATTTTACGACATATATATATATATACATATATTTAATTGTTAGATAATATACATTTTCTTACAGTGTATATAGTGATGTATAATTTATTTTACCATTCTTTTTCTTGAACAACAAATAAGATATCAGTGCATTTGTGCGGGCTTTATTTCCAGTTTATATTTTGGAAATGTTCTCTGGTTTATATTCCACCATTATAGTGTTTAAAATATAGCCCTACAATACATGCCGACGTGAATATGCGGGCTACCTTCCTTGTTTCACTAAAAAGAAATATGGGATAAGGCATAAACTCCTTTACTGAAAAATCTTAAACTATGGTGGGATACACAAACTATGAGGACCTGCCCCCCAAAAAAAACAAAAAAAAATCAACCCTCACATAATACAGGACCCGGAACATTATATTGATCCCTGCTACTTCTGTACTCTGTCTAATATAGCTATTTGTTGTGCATTTGAACGTTTCAAAAGACATAATTAAGCTTGTCGACTGAAATTGTGTCTTGTACAAGTCTTGTGAAATTATTTTACGAAAGAAGTTACGCTAAATTGTACTGGGATATTTCCTTTGATCACTTGTCTTGACTTTATTCTACATCCTCAAATATCCTTGCAATCCAGTGTGCTGATCTGAAAGAACTCCTTCATGGATGCAGTGCCTCCTCCGCGAAGTCTACTGGAGACTTTGCTGATATCACTTGAACCACTTACATTCCACATCCAAATGGGTCTGAGTTCTAATTTATCAGCAATTAAGCACATACAATCTCCTGATGCTTCCAATTCCCACATTCATCATGAGCAAAAGAATAGTTCTTGGTTTAATTATGAGCATGGTGGATGTGAAAATCTTGAACCAAAGAAGCAAGTGGTGAGGCACACGTCGTAAGCATGGTCACATACATCTCTCATTGTGTTTATGATCTCCAACCAAAATGATTCCATCTAGCATATTCTCAAAAGCCCAATGACCACTTGATAAGTATTGAAAAAGCCACTTCTACATATATGTTGGAATGTGTGGAACATGAAAACTAATAATTGAAATAAGACATAAGCTCATAAATGTTGTGCAAACTACAAAGTCATGTGAATGAAAAGTGCACCATATATACCACTCTCTGTTTCTGGATACACTTGTCGTTCGTGGTCAGATTTGAGATTTGCAATGCAGTGCTTGTTTGAAAGAATTTCTGCTCGTATGCATGGAAGCCGCAAATTTTAACCATTCATTTCTGGGACATTTTGAAGGTGCAAACCAAAATTTCATAAATTATTTGAATTAATTTTCAAATCCAAATTTGTAATTATTTCTGGGACAAAAAGTTTAGGCCGTACAAAGCTCAATTTATTCTCAGACAACACATTATGTTCAAAATATATAAATGATCTTGCAAGCAATCAATCCTTAACAGCCTAAAAACAGTACAAACAACCGATCTTTGGAGCATAGGTTTAACAATCCAAACAGCTTTAACAGTCCACTACATAAGTTTTAAGCAATCCAAATAGGCTTAACAACCGGCAACAAACCCATAGCTTCCTCACTATTATCAAGAAGTCCTGCAAAGAACTTGTTACTTATCACCGCCTACTGATGAAATATGGCGCCATGAGAAATTAGTTTATTCATTTCATATTCATCTTTTCATTTACTCCATATAAAGTGATTTCTACAGTAAATGAAACCTGCAAATTTCTGATTCTCTTTATGCAGATCATGAAATGCACACTTGTTAGGACGTGCTATTGTTTCTACCTGCACTCCTTGAGCTCTAGCTAGTTTCTGCGCAATGGGGTGCAAGCCATTATGCAAGTATTGTTTCTACCATGGTTGTATCTTGCATTTTTACACTCACATGTATACATGTACATATGCAGAACAACTAGCACAGGATTAATTGTGGCATAGAACCGGGAAGGTTAGGAAAGTCACATGAATCCATATCTACAAGTTAATATAGAAACGCAGCCAGAAAAATTCTGAATATCCAATAATTTTTATCAGCCTTAGATGGCAAAACGCAAGCTGCGTGAAGAAAATCCACCAGCACGTCCTCCATTGCCTCTTCTACATGGACAGATGTCAGATGATAGCATGACTACTCTCAGCAGCCGTGCACGCTTGCAGATTGGAAGCACAAGAACTTTGAACCCTGAAACGCTGAGCTAAAGAAATACAGGTAGTTATCTAAAAAGCGAGTGATGCAGCCTACTCGGAATATCTTGCACATTTTGGTAAATATTCTCTGCATTGAGGTCATTGATTTGAAATTTTCTTCTAGGTTCTTCTGCTCGCGGTTCAGTTCTCTCAGGACAGAAGGTACCGAGAATGCCTCAATCTATTGTTCTGCCCCATGCAGTAGTTCCCAATGCCTCCCGAGCCTATATTATATTAGCCTAGCTTCAAACAAATTGGTGAATTGGAGATGTACCATTCACAGATATCTGTGAAGATCTTCATCGATGACCCCTTAGTCAGATGATCTTCGTAAATATCGTTGTGTAGTTGTGTGCTCTAGAAAAAAAAAACAACTATTATAAGGGACACAATTTGGCCATGGCAAATTTATGGACTACAGGATGTGTCTCTAGCTGATCTTGTTTTTTTTTCTAGAAAAGGTTTTTTTTTTCACCAGCCTCTATAGCTGACCTTGTTAAATTTTTTTTATAAAAGGTATTTTTTTACCTGGTCTATATATTCAACGTATATATATGGTCTTTTTAAATTAGGAGCTTATCCCCTTAAACAACCCAATCTGAAATCCACTGCTATAAAGATTTGAACCTAGAACCATGGGATGCTATTCAGGTCACTACAACCACTAGACTGCGTATCATTTCACAGCTGACCTTGTATTTGTAGGGTGCAAACTAGTTTGATTTGTTTTTGGTAATTCATTTATAACCTATGGTCTCTGTACAACTAGGGATATGCACATGACCATCTTTAATATAGGCATTAAGATTTGAACCCAGTGAGTCCCAGAACATCAATGGCTGGTGTGTTCTTCCAAAGTATGCTTTGATAATTGGCTAAGCTTTTAAGTCGTAATTGCACATTCGTCTCATTGATTTCAACTTTCAAGGAATACAAAACAGCACGTATATTTCTGCAGTCTACAAATGAAGCAACGAAATAACCTTAACTTGTGGTTAATTATATACCCAGAAGCCCTTAAACTCTGATACTAGCGTATCACTTTCAGCACATGCCATTGTCCAAGGTTTAGGCGGTCTGACAATAATCGTCTTCTTTGAGTAAAATCAAACTGTACCTGTGGTAGTGTTTGAAGTAGTATTATACATCGGGACTGTCTATACATTTATCTGAAAATTACCTGAAAGTTACATACAAATTACACTAAAATTATATGCAAGTTAGAATGTAACTATACTACGATTACACCGTATTTACGTTTGAGAAATTTTTAGAAGAAAATTTATCGATAAATATATAAAAAAATGTTATACTTATGTGGTGCATCCACTACCATTAAAGAAAAAGGCCATCCCTGCCGGCCCATGATGACCAGTTCACATTTAATTCTGGCCTAGATCAATAATGAACTGGTAGTGAGAATAGTATCACTATTGGTTCAAGCCACACATAAGGGATTTGCTAGGTTGACCAAGGCGTCTATTGACTTACATACACCAACCAGTTCAACCCAAAAGTGAGGCCCTCTCAAGTCTCTACCGTGCAATAGAAGTGAATCCCCCTCACGAGAGACCCCCCTCAAGCCTTTAGCATGGAAAAGAAGTGGGCTGCAATTTTTTATTTAATAGTGCGCTAGCTAGGATTCGAACTCGTGACCTATGGCTCTGATATGATATTGAGTTGCATGCACCGACCAACCAAAAAATCTAAGCTGGTGAGGAAAGGTGGGCAATTCACTTTATATTCTATCAGTGTCCAATACTGCTACAAATAATGCTTTTTGTAGGCACCCCCACTATAAGATCATAGGTGGACCGTCAGCGATAAGTTTGGTCCGAGTAGGGGGCATGAACCATGAGAAACCTAGAACGATTTTTCATGGGTTGCACGATGGGGAGTTCAGTAATAGGTATCTAAGATCGCAAATTGATGATGAAGGAGCATAACGCAAAAATGTGAGGGTGGTGCCCTCCAATCAAATTAATCTTTTAGGTTGGATAGGCCAATATATATCTTGACAGCCATTTTGTGGTTTCTCATTTGTGCTCATCCCAAAATCCGAAAACGGATAGTTTGAGTGTTGGGATACGCGTAGGCTATGATAGTATAAATCAAAATTTTCTATCGCGTAAACCAGGAACCATGCAAGTATTAATTAGATCATAGAGCGTTACCATTCGACGTGCTGCGCAGTAGAAGAAGGCGCTAAGAAGTCGAAGGAATTCTCGCGAAGTAGCGCGCGTCGATGTAGAGGAAGTAGTCGATCGCACTGGCTTGACCTTCTCCTCCTCGTGCGTTCTCCTCGCCGTATTCCCACGCTGATCACTGATGACACAACACATATGGCTCTTGCAGTGTCTCATGTCGGGTCTATCCAACATGTTCACTAACATGTGTCCACATTATTAATTTGGTATCTTTATACCATAATCTATGAGACATGATCATCAATTAATACATGTGCTGATCATCTAAACATATTTGTTCCACATATGATATTTGATAAGGGATCCTTTAAAAATAGCAACACACAACATAAAGAGTCTCATGAAAGAATCACATATTCATTAACCAATAATGAGTTATCTATTTCAAGGAACAAAGTTGGATAAATATATAAACATAGTATGTGATACAATCATCTCTATGATTGCCTCTAGGGCATATCACTAACATTGAGTCCTGTTCTTCATATACGAAACAAGAGGGATACAAATTTCTGATGTGATGTATATTCTAAAACAGTGGGAAAGGAAACTCTACGAATGAAACTATATGAAAGTCCAGTAGCTTGCAGGCAAAAGTTCCCAGCACCTTCCATTCACAAGTGGTAATTTGAGGCAGCAGATAGATGGCAGCACAGCTTAATTGGTGAAGCGCTTAGACAACAAATGTAATAATATGACAACGGAGATATTCAGGACTGACCAAGCTAGCATCCACTTTGACAATCACGATTCAAGAACTCTCAGCAGTTTGAAAGGAAGCAACTGGTTTTTGTTTCATACGAGTTGCTCGATCATCTCAATGTGAGCTCTCCTTTTTATGTTTGATGATCTTTGTCTATGAAACAGCTTTGCAACAACTTTTAGGCTGTCACTCACATTGCTATACATTTTCTTAATTAATAAATATATGCAAAGGACGAAAATGTTGTTATGCCAACTTATATAATACTGTTTGATATAAGATGTCTGAAGACAAAGAACAATATGTATTTCCCTTTTTTTTTTCCATTTTTTATGCTCCGGCATTCGCCATCAACTAATTAATCATGAGGTTCATACAGATCTGGACGCCTTAAGCGCCTTGCAGTGTTGTTAGTGCATTGCATGCTTGTTTCTAGTGTGTGAGTGTAGATGCCTAGATATATTTGTATCCGCCACTGGATTGAGCTTAAAGATGACTCTATCCTTGTTTGTTCGATTTCGTGAATGTGGCATCACTTTGATTCCTGCTTCCTGAATGTGTCGCAAACTTCACTCGAACCTTCTCTATTTCAAAGATAATCCATGGAGTTAATGGAAGCATCAGTGGACAAACTGACCTCCCGATGCCTACCAATCTCACATCGAGCAACAGAGAGAAGTAGTTCTTTCATAACCAGGCATGATGAAATTTGAAACTGAGACCCAAGAATGATAGAAGCAAATTGCGAGGCACACAAACATACTCAGTGGTTCATATATATGATCTCTGACTAGCAAAAAATTAAATTAAGTAACTGAGCACATTTCCAAGTATTGAATCGCTTGCTCTACTTTGTCCATCCAAGGGTGAATATTGGGATAACACATAGCTTACTGACTAAAACCATATATTGTACAACAGTGCAATTCTAGAAGTAATATGAAAAATGCCTTGAGAGATTAAAGAACTAAGCTAAATTGCACAAGAAAACTCTTGCTGCATGTTGTAGACACTGATCAATTTCTGAAGCTTATCAGATAATCAGGAAGTTCCCCGCAAAAAGAAAAAATTAGGAAGCATATAGATCAATATTTTCCTCATAAGTCACTAGTAGTCACCTTCCACATTTGGCAAAATCCTTCCTGATTTTCCTCATCGATCCTACTGCTTAACTTGTGTTCACGATTTCGGATGCTGTGGATTGTTTTGAGAGCATTCTGTTTATATTTCTGTATTTGTGACAGTGAAAGCCCAAATTTTAAGCCGTTTGCTTGGTTAGAGCTAGGATGATACGGTAGCATTGGAAACTGTAATCCTAAAAATTCGAGAGAACAAGGTGTTCATCTTTTTGCCCTTTGCTGCAGTGCAGATTCACCTCAATTACAGTAGTTCTATGAATTTCCTAAGATTAATAATATGTGCCTGATTGCTGTTCCAGGGGAATCTGCAGAATGAGTAAGGCATCACTTCCACAAATAAAACCTTATTGTTGAAATCATCTGCTCCTATCCAGCTTATGCAGGGCCAGGCTGCTTGCATCTTCAGTTATTTGCAAAAGATTTATCTTTTTCCCAGTTTTATTAGGGTTAGTGGGTGTTAACTGTTGAGCATTTCATACTTGTGTAAATGTACAGGGCCAATGAGGCAAATGTGGATTCAAGTACTCAGTGTGTCAGCCTGTATCGATATGGTTGAGGAGCACAGCTGCGAGTTGGTAGACAAAGATCTACATGATCTGCAAAGCAAATATGTTCTATCAGTTAGGAATGTATGTGATCTGGAAAGAAGCCTATTATTTCCATTTTTCAACAGAAAGATGGACAACTATGTTCTGGAGATGCAGACCTATCTTTCAATTAAGCTGGCCTTTTTCTGTATTGTTCAAGGATGGCTCTCTTTCTGATAATGATAAACATTAGAAACTATGTAATCTTCTTAATATATACTTCTTGCCTAGCTACAGTTGTGTCTCAGTTCCTTTAATAGATAATTGCAATCGGAAATTGGAGTACCTGCCGACCGCCGCCACTTGAAATTTCTCCATTCCACAAATTGTGCCAACCACCCTTGACATGTTGAAGCAGACTAACTATATCAATCTCCCAATGCTTCTCAAGCCTACATTCAGCCTAAAAAGAAACAGTGTTCTTTCTTTCTGAGCTTGGCGAAGAGAAAGATAGAATGAAAGACGAGAAATAGTGAGACAATATAATGAGATGCACATACATGTTCATATAACTATTATGTTTGGCTATGTATTCCTTCGTGGATATAGAGGCCGGATTAATGAAAATCCATTATCTAAAAAAATATAACTATTATGTGTCTTTTATTGCATCTATCATCTCTGACAAAAAAGAGTTAATCTAGCAAATGAGCACCTGCAAGTACTAAATCACTCTTTGTGCTCAACAAGGGCATTGAATCACTTGTACTTGGCAGTACTCTGCAGTGTGAAAAGAAAGGATTGGGATAATTTCACTCAGATAAAGTTGGCACAAGACATATGTGACGATCCTAGGGTTCGTGGCTCTAGATTTGGGGAATCGTCACAGGAAACATGGAAGAACAGAGGAGGAAGAAGGAGAATTCAGGAGCAGAGAGGTTGGTAGTAGTTTGTTATCATCTCTCTTCTTCGATACCCCACTTCACCAACCACGCAGGGTTTATAACACACCCGTGTTGGTGGCTCGGTTCTTACAAGACGGCCCAATAGTTGGCCCAACACAAACAATGTCCCTTACAAGGCCCATTGATCATGACATTCCCTCCCCCTTAAGGACTGGCTTGCCCCCAAGCCAGCGCAGATGGAAAACGACGCCATAAGTCGGCCAAATTTTCCCAGGTGGCAAGAGTATCAGGAAGCCCTGACCATCGTACCAGAACAGAAGGAATGGAAGAACCACCACGCTTGATCAACTGACGACGTAGAATGGCTTTAGGATAGACTTCAACTTCATCAGTAGAACAAGTCAGGGGTAGATCTGAACTGACTGGTGTATCAGGTTGCACTGCCTTCTTAAGTAAAGAGATGTGAACCACTAGGTGAATCAAGCTCCCAGCCGGCAATGCCAATCGATAAGCCACTGCTCCAATCCGTTCCAGGACTTTATAAGGTCCAAAGTACCTGAAACTCAATTTGTGACAAGAACGTTTGGCCATGGTTAGCTGAACATATGGTTGAAGTCGCAAGTAAACCATATCACCAGGGGCAAACTGGCGTTTTGAACGATGCTTGTCAGCTTGTGCTTTCATGCGCTGTTGAGCTCGAACCAGATGATGGTGAAGCAACTCGTTCAATTTCGCCCGATTGACAAGCAACTGTTGCACATCCGGGATAGTACTTTGACCCATATCAATCACACCGAAGCTAGTTGGCTTACGGGCAAACAGAGCTTCATAGGGAGACATACCAAGAGCGCTATGCTGACAAGTATTGTACCAGTGCTGGGCCTAAGCAAGCCAAGAAGACCACTTACCGGGGGAAGAATAAACAGCACAATGCAAATAAGCTTCCAAACATTGATTCAAACGCTCCGTTTGGCCATCCGTCTGAGGGTGGTAAGACGAGCTCATATTCAACTTGACATCCGAGAGTCGAAAGAGTTCCTGCCATAAAGCACTTGTAAAGATCCTGTCCCTGTCAGAGATGATGGCCTGCGGCATGCCAAAAACATCATAGATGTGCTGGATGAACAACTGAGCCACTTTTAAGGTAGTAAAGGGATGAGATAAGGGAATGAACGTAGCTTATTTGGTGAACTTATCAACCACCACCATAATTGTATCAAAGCCCCCAGACTTAGGAAGCCCTTCAATGAAGTCAAGACTAATGACAGTCCAAGCCTAAAGTGGAACTGGAAGGGGTTGCAACAATCCTGGGCTCTTACAATGTTCTACTTTTGCTTGTTGACAGATTGCACAAGACTGAACATAAGCCTTGACATCCCTTTTTAGTCCAGGCCAGGCAAACATGCTCTTGATTCGTTGGTAAGTGGCAGCTATACCAAAGTGGCCTCCAACGCCACTATTGTGCAGGGAGAGTAAGACAGCTTGCTGGGCTTCCACGTGTTTCCCTAGCCAGATTCTACCCTTGAATTTGATAATGCCATTAACCAATGTGAAATTG